AAACAAAGTCCAGTTGTCTTTTAGAAAAGAAGCTTCTTCTGTTCTCATCCAAGAAGGTTCTTCAGTTCTGCAGAACTCTTCTTGATTGAGAAAAAAAATGTCTTCAAGGACAAACAAAGTCCAGTTGTCTTTTGGAAAAGAAGCTTCTTCTGTTCTCATCCAAGAAGGTTCTTCAGTTCTGCAGAATTCTTCTTGATTGGGGAGCAAAGTATCTTCAAGGACAAACAAAGTCCAGTTGTCTTTTAGAAAAGAAGCTTCTTCTGTTCTCATCCAAGAAGGTTCTTCAGTTCTGCAGAACTCTTCTTGTTTGAGAAAAAAAATGTCTTCAAGGACAAACAAAGTCCAGTTGTCTTTTGGAAAAGAAGCTTCTTCTGTTCTCATCCAAGAAGGTTCTTCAGTTCTGCAGAACTCTTCTTGATTGAGGAGCAAAATGTCTTCAAGGACAAACAAAGTCCAGTTGCCTTTTGGAAAAGAAGCTTCTTCTGTTCTCATCCAAGAAGGTTCTTCAGTTCTTCAGAATTCTTCTTGATTGAGGAGCAAAATGTCTTCAAGGACAAACAAAGTCCAGTTGCCTTTTGGAAAAGAAGCTTCTTCTGTTCTCATCCAAGAAGGTTCTTCAGTTCTTCAGAACTCTTCGTGATTGAGAAACAAAATGTATTTGAAGTCCAGTTGTTGTGCACACATGTGTGGAGGGAGGGCATGTGAGCACACGACCCCCTGCGTTCCCCCCGCTTTTGGCAGCCGATGGCAAAAAGGTTAGCTATCACTGGGCTAGCTATATCTAGCTGCCTCAACTGTTCACCATACACTTTTAAGTCATCAGAATGGCAACCTCTTGTTTTGACAAGCATTGTGGTGGCGAAGGGGTGAGACTGCAGTATTGCAGGCTAATTCTGCCCACTGCCAGGAGTTCGATCCTGACCGGCTCAAGGTTGACTCAGCCTTCCATCCTTCTGAGGTTGGTAAAATGAGGACCCAGATTGTTGAGACGAAGATGCTGATTCTGTAAATCGCTTAGAGAGGGCTGTAAAGTACTGTAAAGTGGTATATAAGTCTAAGTACTATTGCTATTGCTATTGCTAACTCTGCCCACTGCCAGGAGTTCAATCCTGACCGGCTCAAGGTTGACTCAACCTTCCATCTTTCCGAGGTCGATAAAATGAGGACCCAGTTTGTTGTTGGGGGGGAGGGCAATAGGCTGACTCTGTAAAGTGCTTAGAGAAGGCTGTGAAGCACCATGAAGTAGTACATAATGTAAGTCTATGCGGTATTGTTATTTCCAAAGTGTTGGAATGCTTCCTGCCGATGTCCCTCCATGCTAATTACTTTATTCTTCTGTTCTTCCCAGTCTGTTCCCAGTTCTCCAGAGGAGTCTATGCCATCTTTGGATTCTATGACCAGATGTCAATGAACACACTGACGTCCTTTTGTGGGGCACTGCATACATCTTTCATCACGCCCAGCTTTCCAACAGATGCTGAGGTTCAGTTTGTCATCCAGATGCGTCCAGCTCTGAAAGGGGCCATCTTAAGCCTTCTGACATACTATAACTGGGAAAAATTCGTATATCTCTATGATACCGAACGAGGTAAGAATGCATTTTGGTTTTTTCCAGATGGTTTCTTTCCAAAAACCCCTCCCTCCATGTCTCTTAATGCAAAAAGTGGCTTCATATAGATAGTTCTTGACTTACGACCATGATTGATAATCAATAGGAAGGCCCCTGAATGAAGTCAATGATTTGAACCATTCATTTGAACGTCATTTGTTTGTTTCGACGCAGAACGCCAATCGGATTGATCGGTTTGATTGAATTGCTTCGGGATTGAATTTCTAGATCAAAAGTTCTGCAGCATTCCTATGACAGGGTTCTGTAGGATGCCCTAATTAAATCATGAGCCTTGAGCCAAGCTTCAAAAGAAATCCTGTTATTTATTAGCAACAACATGTCGGCACATACCCAAGTGAAGTCAGCTCTGACCCCCACATTATTTACAGCCCAATTAGGACCCTGTTTCCCCTCCTCCCCCCAGGGTGTGTCATAATTCACATTCTCCAACATCCCAGCCCCTCCGACTGTTGCAGGTAACCTGGGATACAGCCTTGAGAAAGGTATGCATGGAATGTGCTTCGGTTGTGGCTGCCATACTGCTCCATCAGTTTTCCCCCCTCTTGCCTATGGCAACTCAAGAGCAGGCCAGGGATGCTTTGCAAATTGACATCTTACTTATAAATGTACAATATCTGGTTGCAGTATTTGGGTGTCTCTAATGCCTGTAATACTATTGGGGGATGTTATGATGCCGCAATGCCTTAAGCTGCACCCCTCAAACCCCAGATCTTTTCTTCTGAACTAGGGGTGAGCAACCATCAGGAATTCTGGGAGTTGAAGTCCACCATTTCTAAAAGGCCCATAGTTGCCAATACAGGGTTGCAAAATGTATTTTGGCCAGCATCTTGAAATATGTGGCAATTTGGGATAGATTCTCCTAATGCACTGTTAAAGAATTTTCAACCTGTTTCCCAGAACCTCTTCAGTCACAGCAGACAGTGATAATTTCTTGAGTTAGATAATGGGAATTAAAGTTCTCGCATATGTTGCTGCCTTTGCAATGGGAAGGGTGGGGAAGATCCTGGAACTGTCATACTTTTTAATAATTTGCTCTGTCAATTTTTTTATTTTGTTGCTGCTTCGGGGCACAAGCACTTCTGGAAGACAATCCGGAACAATTTTCTGTCAGTTCTGGAAATATATTATCGTTTAACTATCTCCTCTCTTTCTCTCTTTCCGCGCGTGTAAACATTATTAGCTTACTAGGGTATTGTTGAAATTGGACAATCGGTGAGAAATTGCAGGGAGCCATTTCTTCCCAGCTTAAATATTGCATTAGTGAGGGAAATTGCATTTGCAAGCATTTTCATCGCAAGAGGCTGTGTTAGCATCTGTCAGAGCGAAGGGAAGCCTGGAGCTCAATCTTAGAATAAGGTGTCACTGAAGCTCTGAAGATGGAAATGATCTCTGTTTCAGATGATTAGGAGTCTGGAATATGCTTTGCCGGCTGTGGAAAGGCTCATGGCACATGGGCACCGTAATTTATTTCCTTACCTTGGTGTCGCATTTTAAGCTGGTTAAGCAGCAAACCTCAGAAAGCATTTGGTTTTATCTCGGTTTTATCTCGGCTCATGGTCGGGGAGTTTGAGGTTAGATTGTGTCCTGGAAGGTATTGCTTAATTTTTCTTCAGCTGTATAAAATATCACTTATCTCTTCTTATGAACTGGAGCATTAGGGCATTGGGGTTCGAAAGAGAAAGAAAGAAAGAAAGAAAGAGAGAGAGAGAGAGAGAGAGAGAGAGAGAGAGAGAGAGAGAGACAGAAAAAGAAGGAAAGAAAAAAGAGGAAAAGAGAAAAAGAGAAAGGAAGGAAGGAAGGAGAAAAGAAGGAGGGAGAGGGGGAGGGGATAGGAATGGAGAGGAGAGGAGAGGAAAGGAAAGGAGGGGAAGAAAAGTTTGAGGTTAGATTGTGTCCTGGAAGGTATTGCTTAATTTTTCTTCAGCTGCATAAAATATCACTTATCTCTTCTTATGAACTGGAGCATTAGGGCATTGGGGTTCGAAAGAGAAAGAAAGAAAGAAAGAAGGAAAGAAAGAGAGAGAGAGAGAGAGAGAGAGAGAGAGACAGACAGACAGACAGACAGACAGAAAAAGAAGGAAAGAAAAAAAGAGAAAGAGAAAAAGAGAAAGGAAGGAGGGAGAGAGAGGGGGAGGGGAGAGGAATGGAGAGGAGAGGAGGGGAAGAAGAGGGGAAGAAGAGGAGGGGAAAGGGAAAGGAAGAAAAGAAAAGAATAAGGCTTGTGTCATAGGATAACTGGTCTTTGAAGAAGCAGGATAGGAAGAGGAGTGATACTTTTCAACTATGGTATTGGAGAAGACTCCTGAGAAAATCATGGACAGCTAAGGAAATAAGCAAATGTATCACTGAATCAATCAACCCAAAGTTGTCATTTAACCAGGTTTACAATAAGACTCAGCTCTTTGGAGAGGGCTCCAATGCTGGGAAAGATGGAAGGAAAGAGAATAGAATACAGAATAAGACAGCTGGAAGGAACCTAAGTGGTCTCCTTGTCAACCCCCCCTCCCTCCGCTAAAGCTGGAGATCCTATACTATTCCAAACAAATGGCTGTTCAATTTCTTCTTAAAAACCTCCAATGTTGGAGAACCCACAACTTCTGAACTTCTGGAGAAGAAGAGGATGGCCAGCAGAAAGGTGGCTGGAATTAGTTCCCATGGGAACGAATCTTGCATGTAAGGACCACATTATGGTCAGCTCATCATAGAGGAAATCTCTCTCTATGATCACTATCAGTCAACAAAGATTTGATCTCACATAGTAAATTTTAAAAGGTTAGGCTGAGGACCCATAAAGTCATTATTCTGTATACAGGAGAGTCATTCTGGAATTCCTTCTTAGAAACTGGAATTCAGTTAATGGTTTAGTCTTCTGTCTTAACCACGTCCATTATAATCCCAATGGTTGTCTATGCAGTCCTGTGGTTGTCTCAGAGGTGCTTTTTTGTTCAAGAGGCAACTGGACTTTCTGGTTTTTTCTCAAAGACGTTTCGCTTCTCATCCAAGAAGCTTCTTCAGCTCAGAGCTGAGAAGTGAAATGTCTTCAAAGAAAAAGCAGAAAGTCCTGTTGCCTCTTAATCAGTGGTGGGATTCAGCCAGTTCGCACCTATTCGGGAGAACTGGTTCATAATTTTCTAAGCAGTTAGGAGAACCGGTTGTTGGAAGAAATCTCCTTTTGTTTTTTTTTCCACTTTCCAGGGCTAATCCTGTAAGGAAGGCAGGAAGGAAACATTCTGGTCTTGTTTCTAGCTTAATCTTTATTGCCCTGCTTACAGAAACTGCCTCTCTGGTTAACCCTTATTACATTGTAACAGCTGAGGCGAGGCGTCCATCGACCTGAGTGACCTTGAGTTGGCCACACCCACCCAGTCACATGAGCACTGAGCCATGCCTACCCAGCTTGTCA